ATCGCTGTGGTTCTCAGTCCGTCGAGATTCAAGATCCGGAGCCGCCGTCAGGAATCGATACTTCCCACACGCCGCCAGCACCTCGCCCTCCATCTCTATTCCAGATCCGGAGCCGCCGCCGAGACACGATGGTGCCCACTCTCTTTCATCTTCAAACTAGGTCACCGAATCTCCAGATCGGCGCCACTCTCACTTCCTCTCGATTCCAGATCTGCCAGCAAAAGGGGAAAACACCGCAACACCAACTCGATCTGCATGGCCAATCCCCGGCAAAATACACTTTCATAGCCATAATTATTCGCGTTGTGACAATAATAGCCACTTTTTGAAAAATACACTGATATAGCCATTCCGTCCCAAACTTTAATGGAAACATCATCCGTGCTGACTGGACTAACGGTTTATACTCACGTGGCAATTTTTCCTCTTGACTTTTCCAAGTTAGAAATATTATAATTTTAATTAAGTGAAAAACAAAAAAAATTAAAGAAAATGAAAGCGAAGATGAGCAGAGGCATTAGTGCCCTCAACAATGCCACATCTCCAAATCTCCAAATCTCTTTTCACCCTCAACGATGCAGCTTCCGCTTCATCTTCTTCTTCTCGTCGCTGCCAGTCCTTCGGCCGCATCCACCAGCTCCGTCGCAGACCAGAATCATGCGGCGAGGCAGGAGCACCAGATTCACCTGCTTCCCGTCGGCGAGGAGCGAGTATCGCATCGGCTCGTGGATTTGCGGCAAAGGACTCGACCCGACCGGACTGGGGTTTGGAGACAAGGATTGGGACGGCGAGGATTGGGTTCCCTATGCTTTTGGGTTTTCCAGGTTACACGAGCTCATGGTCGCCAAGGATTCGAGAGCCCTCGCTTCTCAGCAGCTCTCGCTCTCCCTCGCTTCTGATTCCTCTTATACCGCCGTTTGAGGTGAGATAGACTCAAAGGGGACCGAGCTGTAGAGTTGGAGCGGGTGGGTTGGAGGAATTTCACACAGATCCAGTACACCTATACCGGTGATTAATTTCACACAAATCTCAGTGCCGGGAGAGGGGACTTCTGATGGCTGGTTGTGAATTTCACACAGATCTAGTACTCATGTGCTTCATCCGCGATTCGAGAATAGAGGAACTCTGTTTTTTCTGTTGAATGTCGTAAATCAGACCTTCTAGTGGTGAGCTAATGTTGATCCGTTCAAAGGCATCCCTTCAAGCACAAGAAATTGGAAGGGCCAATTCTAGAGGGACAGAGAAGGAAGGGTGAGTGACCACGGTGGGTGGATTTGAGAGATTGGGATAAAAGGGGAAAGTTCTGGATATGATAGAGGACAAGAGGAGAGATGTGATTTTGTGGATGGATCTGAGAGATTGGGAGTACGAAACGGTGAGGGTGAAAAGAGATTTGGATCTGCTGATTCTCTCTTCCTTATCTTTCTCGCAGCAGCCGGGCTCCAAATCGATTCGTTGGTGCCTTCCAGCTTTGTCTCCGCCACCCACTCATCTGTATTCGGTTTATGATGCAGTGGAGATGCATCGCCCCCATCATGGCGGAATCGAGTAATTAATGGGGAAAGAGAGGATTTGAAGAGAGGAGTTATGGTTTTGGATCTACTGATGAAGGTTGAAGGCGGAAGAGAAGCAGCGCCGATGGGGAAGGGATTTGGGGAAGGATTGGAAGTTGGAACGAAAGAATAGAGAGAGAAAGAGGAAATAAAATATACTATTTCTTTCTTTCTAAAATTTTTTATTTGATTTCTTTATAAAATGAATGATTTTTTGTTAAAATTTTGTTTATATGACGTGGCATCTAGGTGGCACAAAGACGTCCAGTTGGCGATGATGTGTCGTCCAGATGGCATCCACCTCAGCGAAACGTGGAGGTTACTAACGGCGTTCGTAACGACGTTAAAGTTTGTAAAAAAAATGGCTAAATTTGTCAAGCAAGTTTGAAAAAGTGGCTATATCTGTGCATTTTTCAAAAAGTGGCTATTATTGTCACAACGCGAATAGTTTTGGCTATGAAAGTGTATTTTGCCTTAAAAAAATACTATCACGTTTTGAAAAAACACGAGTTATAAGATCGAGTGTTTACTGGGTCATCCAACTATTTTCAGACTGATGATTAGGTATCCCACATATGAGTGTCCCTAGAACCAAAATTAATATATATATTCAACATCGTACATTTCGACTTCCATCTAGTACGAACTAGACTTATTTAATAAATTAAAAATTAATTATAACTAGTGGCAAATAAAGAGTCCATACACACACGATAATATTCAAGTTCACTAATAGTTAAACTACTGAAACATTATTGATCTTATAATTTCTCGCACATGATCCTCATCGATAAATCATAATATAAAATTATGTTACAAATATACTAGACAATAAAGATTATATTAGGAAAAACAATATGATACCCTTAGAAATTCTTCTTTCATTTCTTAGAGAGGTTGGACAAAGGTTTGTTGGGAGTTTTGAGGAGGTCAGGTAATAAACTCAAAGAAAACTTCTCTAGTATAGAAGACCGAACTTAACTACAACTACAAAGTATATTATAATTATCTTTAATCAATGGAAGAAAGAGATGGAGAAGACTGGTTCCTTTCATTATTGTTTATCTTATTTTTTTTTGTCCGGCCAATGCCTTAGAGAAGAGTGTTTTGGTGTGAGTGATGATGTGAGGGGAGTATTTGTAGTTTTTTGGGCAGGTAAGCAGTTTGCGGCGGAGTGGAGAGATCAATAGATGTCTGCCCTTCTCAACCACGAATTGTGTTGTTAAAAATGAGCCGATTAGCGATCATTGTCGTACATTACATCAGCCCATAACGATCCGCGTCATTCGGCATGCACAATTGCATTTCTCCATCTCGAACTAAATGGATAGCTTTAATTTTCGGCGAATCAATTTTTATTTGTTTGTCTTTCCAGCGGACAACATAAATCGCTTTTGTCTAGCGCGAACCACAACCTGGGTTACTTCAGAATCAAGCCAACCACTTCAAACTCTAATAATTAGAAAAATTTTAGTGCAAGTATTGTATTGTGGGAATTCCTTTTCTGAAGGATTTTGAGAAAAGATGCTACAAGCACGGTGGCATATGTGGTAGGACATTATTGCAAAGAACCTACTTTGTTCTCTTCCCATCGTAATCGTATTCCCCCATTCAATCAATCCCAAAACCACTAGCCAGAAAGAAAGAAGACAACAAATAGAATTCTGCTTTCCTTCTTTTACGGTGTTTGTATCCAAAGAAACGCTACTTCCTATATGTGAAGTCAATTTTCCTGGAATGGTTCAGAGAAAGGTTATCCGCAGGAAGCCTGGAATCCTTCCAATCCAACCTGATAAGTTGTCGGAAAGCCTGAAGAAGAAGAAGAAATCAACTTGCGGACATCAAGATGGCAAAAAAATGAAACGCTCTGGTTGGGTGAGAAAGTGCTCAGATTTGCACAAGATTTCAGAAATCCAGAGGCAACCCATGTCTCCTCTCCCCGGAAAGTCGCCGTCTTCTGCTCCGGCGACCCCACAGAAGTCGTTGCCGAACTATATGAAGTCGACGACGAGCTCAGAGGCCAGGAAGGAGAAGGAGCGATCGCCGGTGAGTAAGTCTCTGAATCTTGACAATAAGATGTGTAGCAATTGCAAGACTAGTGGTGCGTCTTCTTCTTCCTCCTCGTATTCTGGATCCCCGGCGAGGAAATCGACGAGGACTTGGAGCTCAAAGAAGAAGACGAGCGTGAGAGCTCTTACCAAAGCTCCGAGCTTTAAAACTGTGAGGAAATCGACTTGTTCTTCGACGATGAAGGACTCTAAGTTCCCCCCTTACCTTGTGCTTGACGATGGAGGTACTGAAGCTGAAGGGACTTCGGCTCTCAAGGTTTGTCCCTACACTTACTGTTCCCTTAATGGCCATCATCGCCAGCCGCTCAACTGCTTCTTGAAGGCCAAACGGCGCTCGTTGAAGACGCAGACAAGTGTCAAGTTGGGATCTCTGTTTCCGATGAAACCCGTGGGATCTTCAGATAGTTCTCAGGACGAAGCGGACTTCTTCATTGAAATCTATTCAGAAAAGGAGGGCATAAAGGTTGATCCATCGCAGGAAGACACAAGGCTGATTGATGAGCACAACCTGATCGATGAAATTCCCGACCCAGAGGAACAATTTGGCGGCGCCAGTTATGGAGAAGAAGAACAGATGGGGAGAAATGCAAGTATGGTGGAAGATGACAAGAGTTGTGAAGCGACGGAAATGGAGTGGGAGCAAGGCCCTGATTCTGCTTCTCAAGTTGATGATGAAGGCAATTTATGTTCCAAAGGTGGTGCGCTGTTTTCTATGATGAAGAAGCCTGAGATAGTTGAATTAGATGACATCTCTAGCTGCTGCACTGAAGAGGTTCTTGCCGAGGAGTTGCTTCGGGAGCTGTTCGAGGAAGAAACTAGTGAAGATGGGGGTTCTGAGGCGCCTCTAGAAGAAAGAGGCGACAGAGATTCCATGGTAAGGCCAATTCAGATGGATTTCATTGGCGGGCCGGAGAATGATGCAGTGGAAGCCAATCTGAAACCTCAACAGGCTGAAAATGATTGCCTTACCGAGACAGTGGCGCAATGTTTGGATGATGAACTGCAGCAGCTCCCTAATGGGGAACCAGAGAAGTCGGTAAACAATGGACTTGGAGTTCCCGATTCATCAACAGGTTGTTCTGAAGGTGATCAAGATTGCCCCAAGACTAGAATCCGAAAAAACATCATGGATGCTGACGCACAGGAGGATTTGGACACGAGCGAGTTGAGATCAATCGGGCATGAAGTGGAAGAATGCTGCAACACCCAAGGCGAAGATTGCAACAAACCAACTAAAGCTGAGGCACTTGCTGCAGCAACAAATGAAGGAACATGTGGAGATAATGGTGGGATGTCTGGATGGGCAAGGAACAACTCCAAACAAGACCTTGAAGATCCCTGCAGCTACTCGAAATGGAAGATTGGATGCAGGAGAGCCATGGACGAGACAGAGGAAACCGCGAGGGAGTTCAATCCAAGAGACCCTACCTTCCTTCCACTAGTTCCCGACCCGGATGCAGAGAGAGTTGATTTGAAGCATCAGACGATGGATGAAAGGAAGAATTCCAAGGAATGGATGATCGATCATGCACTCCAGGAAGCTGTCACCAAGCTTGCTTCAGCTACAAGGAAGAGGAAAGTTGCGCTACTTGTTGAAGCTTTTGAAACGGTATCGCCTGTACCCAAGTATGAGCCTCGTATTAGGCATTCCTCCCCAGTTTTCTCTCCAACTACGCCCAGGCCCATTCAAGCCTGCAGTTGACAAATCTTAATCTCAGGTACGCAAAGAGACTGAATAGAAGGACCTCTAGGGATTCCATTTCGGTTTGGCGCAGTGTATTATCGACTTCACTATTTAATTAGTTGCTTTGCTTTGCTTTGTCAATTCCAGGGATGAGTGATGATGTTCAGCAGGGAGTTGCAGGATGGGGAACCTTGTATGGAGAATGCTCTGCATGAACGTGGATTGTGGTACAAGATGCAGTGTACCTAGAACGCCATGGATAGATCGAGTGCCAATTAAGATTGTGCAAGTCAATTATGAATGTTACTGTTTTAGTATATGTGGGGTTGGGTTCCCTGAACCAGATTATGTGTTTCTAGTTCATTAAAGAAAACAGTGAAATGAAAGGGGCAAAAGTTATTCTTGTTGTAGACGGCATTTTTACTTTTTAGTTTCCCACAAAATGTTGTTGACTTATGTATTCCTACGATTATGCGGGTGGAAATCGGTATGGTATCGGTATTTCAATACCAAATATCGAATTACACTCTAAAATCAATCTCAATCCCAATCCCTAAATATTTAGGTATCCCAATCGGTATAATCTAATATGAAATTAATTACCTTTGCAATTAATAATTTAATATATAATCTAAAATGTTGTTGACTTATGTATTCCTACGATTATGCAGGTGGAAATCGGTATGGTATCGGTATTTCAATACCAAATATCGAATTACACCCTAAAATCAATCTCAATCCCAATCCCTAAATATTTCGGTATCCCAATTGGTAATTCGGTATCCCAATCGGTATAATCTAATATGAAATTAATTACCTTTGCAATTAATAATTTAATAATTTTATTGTTTAATATAGGGCAAAGAGACTAAACAAAGAGTCTTGAGTTTGCTTAGAACTAGGATATGGATAAGGAGAATGAAGGAGAGGTGACATCTCAAGTTCTTGTCATTGGTAATCTTTAATTTGACGAATTGGAAATTGAGAGACGACTAATACCAGTGTTTGATTTTTGGTGTTATGAAAATAACAAGAGATTAGATAAGAGACGAGAGTGACTTAAATTGTACAATGAAATTTGAGTTAGATGGGAACTTATAAGTCGTGAAATAGTGATGTAATGATCTATGTATAAATTACACTTTTGGTGGTTGAGGGTCATGTAGTAGTGAATGAGAGAGTCTAGCTGAGAAGATAAAATGCACACTAGCTTATATTTCGGTATTGATCGATATTTCGGTATATACCGATCCCAATCTCGTAATCCCTAATACCAAATAACAATTGAAATTCAATCTCAATCCCAATCCCAAGAAATAATATGTGTATTCGGTAATACCAAATATACAAATTCTGTACGGTATTCGGTATATCCCAAATACCGGTACCAAACTTCAAGCTCTACCTACAAGAATGTCATGATAATTGAAATAGTTATGTAGGCATGGTCTCTTTCATATCAGAACAAAAATCTAAAATTATCAATGTTACTAGTGTCGGCTAATTTAATTAGACTACAGATGTCAGAGACATGGTGACAAGTTTCGAGCACAAACATAATATCAAATCTGTAAGTTTATAAGCTCAATTCATAAATGAAGCCGTTTCACAATTCAATATGAAAGTACGTGGCGAGGTCATCTATATTAGGAATTTTCGTGTGAGTTTTCTGCCACAATTTCACAGGTCGAGAGATTTTGTGGGATGTCATTGTCAAGGATAATTACTAATTATTTATTAATCATCTACTTAGTGGATACATAGTGGTTAGATTAGCTCCCCATTAGTAGCTACGTGGGTTAGTAGTCAGTTGTAGCTTGTGTATAAATTTCATCTCTCACACTTAATACAAACAAATCATTCAGCAATCACATGGTATCAGAGCATCGGTTCTGATTTCCTTAATCCTAAACCTAATCAAACACGATTTATCTTCCTCTCTCTCTCTCCTTTTCTTTTCCGTCTCTCTTTCTGTACCAGCGCTGCTTCTCTGTGCACCTTCTTTTTTTTTTTTCCGCCGCCATGTCTACCAACACTGGTGAATCGGTTCTCAATCTTGGTGACTCAAACACCATTATCACTCTGAATCAAGCCTCCCAGCTCCCTATCAAGCTCTCCGGCGACAACTTCCCCACCTAGCGTGCCCAATTATTCACTCTTCTTCGGGGGCTCGATCTCCTGAAGTTTCTCGACGGCTCTCACCCTCAACCGGCCGATGATTCCTCCGCCGATCTCCGAACTCAGTGGTTTCGGCAGGATCAACTGCTTCTTCATGTGGTTAATGCCTCTGTCACTCCGGCGGTTGCTCCATATGCCACCGTTGTTGTCTCGTCCCGGGATGCTTGGACGATCCTGGAACGCATGTTTGCTGGCCAATCTCGTTAGCGTGTGATCAATCTCAAAGGCAAGCTCCTCCGTGAAACTCAAGGTTCACGTCCCATCTCGGTCTATCTCCAAGCTATGTGTAGCACTACCGCCGAGCTCGCCCTGGTTAATGCTCCGGTCTCTCCTGAGGATATGATCATCCATATCTTGCGCGGCCTGCGTGATGAATTCAGCCAGCTTGCTGCCGTCATTCGCACTAGAGATACTACTATCCAAATTGAAGACCTCCATGATCGGCTGGTGGATTTTGAGGCTGATTTAGCTGCTGCCCAGATTCCCCAGTACGCACCCACCACCGCTTTTCCGTCTACTCGTGGTCATCCGCGCCATCAGTTCTTGGGCTCTCGCCCCACCAGCCACACTCACCGTGATTCTTCTCCGTCTCTCTATTATGGCGCTGATCCTCGCCGGGATTCCAGCCATCGCTCTCCTCGTGGTTCCTCCTCTCCGCGTGCTAGCTCGGGCTATTCCTCCTCTTCACTCCTCGGCCGCCCTCCCCTTCGCTGCCAATATTGTGACAAACTCGGCCACTCGGCCAAGGAGTGCTACAGCATCCGTGGTCGGCCTCACCCACACCACACTACTGCCTCATCATCTTCTGTCTCCGGCTGGATGGTTGATTCTGGGCCACTAATCACATGACCCCTGAACTTGGGAATCTCTCTCTATACAAATTATGCTGGCCCGGACGAGGTGTTCATCGGCGATGGGTCAGGTTTGACAATTACTCATGTTGGCCACTCGCATTTGTCTTCCTCTATGGCGTCTCTGGATCTTCGCAATGTTCTTTGTGTTCCAACTCTTAAGGGCCGTTTGCTCTCTGTTGCTCAGCTGTGTAAAACCTAATCCTGTTTCGGTGGAATTCTTTTCTGATATTTTTGTTGTGAAGGATCTAGCCATGGGGGCGCACCTACTACTAGGCCAGAATAAAGGGGACGTCTATGAGCTGCCGCAGGAGAGGCAACCCATTCGCCTGGCGCTGACTGAGACACGAGCCACCTCGTCCCTCTAGCACAACCGGCTGGGCCATCCTCACCTCAAGCTGCTTACCCGTGTTATTCGTAAACAGTCTCTTCCAGTTACCTCTCTACTTGCTACTACTTCGTGTGAATCTTGTTCTCTCCACAAAAGCCATAAACTTCCATTTTCTGTTTCTTCCCTGACCAGTTCTCGTCCTTTCAATTTGTTATACATGGATGTTTGGGGGCCTTCGCCTATTATTTCTCATGATCATTTTTCGTACTATCTAGTAATTGTTGACCATTTCACTCGCTACACATGGTTATACCCTTTGGCTCGCAAATCTGATGTGTATACCATCTTCACCACCTTTACTACCATGATCGAAAACTAATTTCACACTACCATCCGCCGTGTTTATAGTGATGGTGGTGGTGAGTTCCAACAGTTGTGCTCGTTTCTTCAAACTCGTGGTATAACCCATCTTCTCACCCCACCTCATACTCCCCAACACAATGGTCTAGCCGAACGTAAACACAGGCACATTGTCGAGACTGGTTTAGCCCTTCTTCATACCGCCAACCTTCCCCTTTCCTTCTGGTCCCATGCCTTTCAAACCGCGATCTACCTCATTAATCGCCTACCATCCACCTCCCTAAACGGCCAAACCCCCTACCATTCCTTATTCAATGAGCACCCCAATTACCTCAAATTGCGTGTTTTTGGGTGCATCTTCTACCCTTGGCTTCGTCCATACTCGGCCAATAAACTCTCCCCACGTTCTCGTCGTTGCTTCTTTCTTGGCTACTCTCTCTCTCTCAAAGTGCATACAAATGCTATGATCCCATCTCTGACCGTGTTTATGACTCCCGCCATGTTCTCTTTGAAGAGTCCCTTCTTCCCGGTCTTCGGCCACTCTCTGAAAACACTTTTGATTCCCCTACTTGGATTGCTACTACTACACCACCGGTCACTGTGCTCAATCTGCCTCGCCGTCCACCAGCCCAGCTGCCTCCTCCCTCGCCACCAGCCTCCCCCTCGGCTCATAGACTCCCCACCGCGCCTACCTTAGGTGCCTCCCAACAACGAGATCAACCACCTCCACTGCCTGCCAAGGTCGCCCACCGCCCAACCACCCACAGTCAACATGGTATCTTCCGTCCGAAAAAACTATTTTTTTCGCAGGTTTCTTCGTCTATAGAGCATCGTATTGTCACACAGGCTCTCAAAGATCCACGATGGACGGCGACCATGTGGGCTGAATTTCGTGCCCTACTCGCCAACAGGACCTGGACCCTGGTCCTGCGTCCCTTGCATCACCACATTGTCAACTTCCGCTGGATCTTTCGTATTAAATGGAATCTGGATGGCACCATTGACCGTTTCAAGGCTCGGCTGGTGGCCAAGGGCTTCACCCAACGTCCTGGCATCGATTTTCATGACACTGACAGTCAGGTTCTCAAACCGGTCACCATCCGTACTGTATTCACCATCGCCTTAACGCATAAGTGGCCCATCTTGCAGTTTGACGTTAACAATGCGTTTCTCCAGGGTTCTCTTGATGAAACAGTGTATATGGCCCAGCCACCGGGTTTTCGCGACCCACAGTTTCCGGATCACGTCTGCTGCCTCTCTCGGGCTATCTACGGTCTTCGTCAGGCTCCGCGCTCATG